CTGGGTGCTACAAAATGGCTTAAGGCTGTACACTGTAGTTTGACTACAGTTCATGGTCTGCACATTGTACTGACTGTCTATAAAGATGAAAGTCAGGCAGGAAGAAGCACTGGAGAAGAGACCATTCCACCTTACAAGTTCCAAGGTGACTGGGGACTCAAGGTTAAGGATGAGTGAAGTAATTGCATTCTGTTGCTGTGATAAAATACCATAACAAGAAGCAAGGTATGGAAGAAAGGGTCTTACAGTATCAGGACAGAGTCTATCATGGTGGGGGAGGCATTGAAGCAGGAACATGAGGCCAGTCTGGAAGACAGAAAACACAAAGATTCCATTTCATTTCACACACAGGGAGGAGAGACAGAGATAGATGGATGGATAATAGATAGATAGATAGATAGATAGATAGATAGATAGACAGATACACAGATAAAAGGTAGATAGATGATAAATATAGATAAGAGGTAGATATAGATATATGGATATAGATACAGATAGATGGGGGGGGGACCAGGCTATAAAACCTCAAAGCCTGCTCTCAGTGACATCCTTCCCCGTGCAAGGCCTTACTTCCTAATTCTAACCTCAAACAGTTCTACCAACTGGGGACCAAATAGAGCCTATAGAAGACATAACTCATTCTGTTCCTGCTCACCATAGGTTCATGGCCATTTCATGATACAACATCTTGTCATTTCAAAAACAAATCCAGGACCAGTGCACTTTGATGTAGGCATCATTTGTGGTCAGTGTCACAAAGGCCTGTTCTGTCATGGTGCAGTCAGGTGGGTCAGAGGACACAAGAGGGGACCTTAGTCAGAAGGGAGGATTTGCCTCTTATGCATAAAATTTGAACAATCAAACTTTTTTCCAGTGAACTACCGATGCTGTGTCAAGTATCTGGGGCTTCAGTTTCAAAGAATTTATGACTTTGCCCCTCTGGCTTTGTTGCTTGGTATACCACCCCACCTCTCCTGGGCAGATGTCTCATGGCTCTGGTATCTCCAGCATCTTGGAATCACCATTGCAATCCAAACTTCCCTGCTACAGGATCACACAACAGCCTCCAAGGGCCTCCTTGCAAGGAGTGCAACCCTGCCACATACTGCCTGGCTTCAGCTGCTCTTTGAAACCAGGAAGGAAGAATCCATGACCCCTTCAGTCTTTTATCTTTGTCTCCAAAAGCAGTAGCAAGTGGCTGATGCCACCAAGTAACGTTGCCAGCTTGGGATGAAGCCTGTCCCCTTGGCCTCTGTTGCAACATTTTCCGAATGCTGGAGGTGGTGAAAAACTTGCCCAAGTGTTTTCTTTCTAGAAACAAACCCCTATTATTTATCATCCCTCCTCTCACAAGTTGGAGGTGGTAGCAACCAAAGTTCCCTGGATGGGGTGAGACAGGGAGAGGGAGGCGGGGAGGGAAGGGGTAAGAGAGGGACAGAGAGCACACGAACATGAGACGCAAGGATGGCAAGAGAAGAGGTGGCGACAATCTCAAAAGATTGCTGGAGTACACAAGTTGGCATATAAATATTGGACTGGTGGTCTGAGGGGGATGTTTGGTCCTTTGTGTCCCCTGCAGGGGACAGGAAATAACTTGGAAAAGCCGTGCACTCCTGATATATCTCTTCTAAGGAGCCAGGAAGAATATCTGACGCAGATCAAGTCTAATCTTTCGTCTCCCAGATGAATCCCCAGATGAGATTCTCCACCCCAAACCACTCTTGCCTGTAACTCTGTCTCCTGATGAAACCAAACACGCATCTAGACACTGACTGCGGCTGGTGGCACCAATGTTCTGTTCAGAGACTGGCCACGAGGCTTTCTGGAATGCATGTGATTTCACATACATCTGACTGAGCAGACCCTGGACCACACAGCCTCAGCTGAGAAGAAGTCAGATGAAGACAAGAAAGAAGAGTCAGGGCCAGGAACGTTCCATGCGTGGTAGAAGATGGAGTGACACCAGGGAACAGGCTCCTTCATCAACTTCTCAAATGCGGACCTCCCAATGGTGTTGCTTTGGATTTACATTTCAAGATGGAATTTTGGAGAGTGCAAAACACTCATGCCAAAGAAAGTTGCCAATAGTTTTTCTTTTTCTTTCTTTTCCTTCCTTCCTTCCTTCCTTTCTCTCTCTCTCTCTCTCTCTTTCCTTCCTTCCTCTTCCTCTCATCCTTCCTTTCTCCCTCCCATTCTCCCATTCTTTCTTTCTTAAAAAGAAGGCATCCTCAATCTGATTTTTTTTTTATTCAAGGAGACAGAAGTCTAAATAAACTAAAGTTCAAAGGGGACTTTATCACTGACCTGAGTTGGACTAGGACCTGGACCAAAGTCCAAATAGGCTCTGAGGAGGAGCTGTGTACATGATTCCCAAGGGATCTGGGATTGTAAGATGGTTCCACTATCAACACTCATTCAGTGTGAAGCCCACACCCCAACCCAAAGCTCCATGAAAAATGTTCATCACATCTTATTGTCTCTACTGCAGTGGGCCACCTGTTCACTGCAGCATCCTGGGAAATGGGAACCATTTCCTCTAAGCTACCACCCCTGAATTCCTGTGTGTGCTGGTGCTTACACAGTAGGTTGACACCTGGAAAGAGGAAGGGATATAGAGCTCAGGAACATGTGTAGCCAGAACAAAGATCCACTGAATATCTATGCGTCTGCCTGAGAGTAAGTGGAACGGGACTTTTTAGCAGTGGCCATGATTAAAAAAAAAAAGTCCAATCTTTTCTTCAGGGGTGGGACTTTGTCCTTGCCTTGAACTTGAGCTCATTATCAATTTATAAATTTCATTTTCTAATATTTTAAACTGTATTTTATGCATAAGAATATTTTGTCATCTTGGTGGTGGTGGCTCACATCTTTAATCTCAGCACTTGGGAGGCAGAGACAGGTGGATCTATATGAGTTCGAGGCCAGCCTGGTCTAAAGGGTGAGTTCCAGGACAGCCTACGTCCCGACAAAAACAGAGTATTTTGGTTGTGTGTGAGCCCCATGCATGCATGCTGTCTGAGGAGGACTAGAAGGGGGTATGGGATCACCTGGAACTAGAGTTACAGACAGTGAACCTCCACGAGGGTGCTGGGAAATGAACTTGGGTCTTCTGGAAGAGCAGCCGGTGCTTTTGACCCCTGTGCCACTTCTACAACCCCCTCACCATCAATATTAAGACTAGCAAAGCTCCCAGTAGATATTCAGGCTCCAGCTGCCTCCTTGAGAAAACCAGGCCACTTAACTGCTCCACAGTGAGAGACCCTTGAGCCAGGAGCCGGAGTAACTCCTCTTGCCTTGAAAAAAAAATCCACTTCCTATTTCAGGAAAAGCAAAGCAGCAGCTGAGGAATACAGTTTGAGTCTCATGTCTTCCTACTCCGTACACCCCAATCTGCCCTTTCCTGTCCCTGACCCCAAACTCCTTATAGTTTCATCAGTCTTTGTGAACAGGAAAAAATTGTCGTGAACTAGTTCTTGTGTACCTGTCCAACCGCTGAAGTGTCAACCCCTTTCTCTAAGCACTATCTAGCAAATAAAAGCCTAGGGAGTAGTCCCATGCAACTCTGATCACCAGGACCTGTGGCCTCCATGGCACCTGACCCTACTCTGACCAATCAAGTTTTTGGTGGCTTCACTGTTCAGGTAGGAAGCTATCTAGCTCCCCCTAGTGGGAAAAGAAGAGACTGACAGTAGAGCCCGTGCTTCCACAAAGATAGGCTGGGACCACAGCCAGCAGGTTGGCTGCAGGAGGAAATCAGACTCAGAAAACAATTATCTGTTTGCTTGTTTTTAAAAGTATGCATCTGTCCTTTGCCAACTCAAGCATTGTGCTTTCTGTGACAAAACCTGAGTAGCTCCAAGAGCAAAACCAGATGCAGAAAGCCACACCTACAGTGAGCATTCTAGAAAGGCTGATGGACTAATCAGAGCTTTAGGGAGTACAGAAGGGTTGGAATACTGTAGGTCCAGACCCTAATATCTGAGACTGACTTAGGCCCATTCAATAGCTGTTTGTTGTGCACCTCCACGTGGGATTCGACATTCTTGGGATGATTATGTAAATTCTTTTGGTATATATGAAAGATCCCTACTGGTAGTCCATCCGCCCCAAGGCTAAGAATGTCATCAGACAGCATCTGGAGCCTTTAACAGAGATCTTTCCCTTTTGTTGTAAACTACCTACCTGGTGTTTGCACCAATGCATTTGAAATTGTGCTGGTTCATGATTTGTTGTTGTTCTGTTACTATAGAAACTTCATGAAACTGTTACTATGTTGGAACATGGAACTTGAGGTAAACTAAGTCTGTCTTTGGCTCCAGAATAATCTATCTCTTATGCCCTTTGAGGTGCCTATCTCTTATGCCCCAACTCCCACCCCTTTGGTAGTGCAGACAACTTTTCACTTCTGAATCAAAAAACATCAAACGCCAGGCAGGCATTCTTGTATTTGACGAACAATCAAATGAACTACTAGAGCTCACAGAACCCTGAGAGAATTAAGAACTAGGCTGACATTGGGCTCAGAGAGCTAGTTGCCCAGTGTCTAGCACACATAGTAGCTGTCCTCTAGAGACAGCATGCCCTAATTGTTCCCAAATAATCTACACGGGGACTTCCACGGCCAGCTATGAATGGGCTGTGAGGGAGAGTCCTGGAACTCAAGCTCAGTGCATCCCACTTCTCTAAACTAGTCAAAAAGACTCAGTCCCCAAAGCTGTCCTCCTCACAATCCCCACCGAGGCCCCTCTGCCCCCAGCAGCGCTTCCCTCTGCCGTCTGCTCTGTGACTGGGGTGCCTCCAAGTCTCACCTCCTAGAGGAAGAAAACTGGGAAATCCAGACCACAGGGAGGTATTGAGAGACCGTACTCTCAATAGCAGGAGGGGCCAAACAAGCAGGGTCTCGGGATGCAGCATTGTCACGGGGCTCTGGCGCCACAGGTGACCAGAAAGGCTGTGCATCGCGCTTTCCCTTTTGTGGCTCCTGTCCTAGATATGCTCACCTAGCAGGATGGACTAAGTGGGAGGATGAGAAGAGTCTGGGCCCCTCCCCTCGTCTTGCCTCCTCCTCTCTTGCAGCCCATGCACAGCACAGTCATTCCCGCATAGCACAGGTGGTACAGCACATTGGCCGTTGTAGAGAGATTCTAAGGCAGTTGGGGAGTGGGGAAAGGTTCCCAAAGCAGTGCTAAGCTTCTTCCAGCCAAGAGGAACAGGGGATTTGGAGCTGTGGTCCTAACTTTTAGCAGTAAGCGTTGCGGGGGAGGCACGCGTTGTTTATTTTTATTTTAAGTGGATGGATGTTTGCCGGCATGTGTGTGTTGCAAGTGTGTCTGATGACCAGGGAAGCCAGAGAGGGCATGGGATTGCCTAAAACTAGAGTTACAGATCTTTTGAGCTGCTATTCCTGCACTGGGAACCTAAGAATCTAACCCAGGTTCTCTACAAGAGCAATCAGGGCTCTTAATTGCTGAGTCATCCCTACAAAATAAGCCTGAAACAGAGATCCGATCTCGGTTTGGTTTTTCATAAAACAAGAACGGGTGTGCTCATCTTACAAGGTTGGTCTGAGACCTGAAGGTAACAATGAGCTCATCATTGGCAGTCTGTGGGAAGAAGGCACTTGGTAAGAATCGTTTCTCCCTTACAGACTCTTAAATGAGAGGAGATTCTGACAAGTGCTCCTGCATGAATGAACCATGAAGACATCACACTAAGTGAAAAAAGCTGGTTAAAAAAATGCCTTGTGAACTATTTCACTTTCATGAACTCCCAGAGTAGTCAAGCTTGGGGTGAGGAGGTAGGGTAAGAGCAGCATGTGATGAGTACCTGGTTTTCACTGTGGATGAGAACAGTTCTGAAGATGGACAAGGTAGATAATTACGTTTTTAATGGCACAGAACTACACTCTTCAAATGGCTCAAATGATAGCTTGTATATTACGTATACTTTACCACACTGACATGTATTAAGGACTCTAAACCTGAAATGACAGGTCATTGATAGACATAAAGAATAGACGTAAGAGAGCAAGTTGTGTTGGCGCATGTCTGTTATCACAGCACTCCAGATCCTGAGGCAGGAGGATAGAGAGTTGGAGACCAGCCCGGGCTACACAGTGAGATCCTTGCTCAAAATAAAAGTGAGAACTGAGGGTGTAACTCAATAGGACAGCACGAATGTAGTGAGCCCCGGTGATACTGCGTGGGAAGGGGCAGGGAGAAACACTGACAATTACCCAAATTAAACTCCCAAAGAAGATTGAAAATCCTGCTGAAGACATATAGCCCAGCAGTCCAGATATTACTGCATCTACAGTCTGTGAGCAGTCAGTATTCCTATCACTATAAATAGGTGGGGTGTCAGCCACATCCTGGAAAGTTGGGGCGGGGGAGTCCTGCATACCCTGTGCTTGTCAGCAAGCCATACAGGAGAAGGTTCTACCTCTCTTTCCTTGTCCTGGAAAATTCCCTGGGGAAAGTGTAAAATGTGGAGTTTTCCATGGGATTTCTAGACTAGTCAGACATAGTGCGAATCTTTGAACTGATTTGTTCTTTCTGTCCTTTATTTATAAAATACAATAGTCCTTGTAGGCACAATACTCAGTGCTGGATAATACAGGCTTTGTAAACGCAGGGAAGGGTGGATTCCTGGTCCTGAGCACCTTATACAACACCTAGCAAAGAGGGGCAAGATCTATATTTGTGATTTGAATGGAGTAGGACTGAATAGTGGCCAGAAGTAGTGATCTCCAGTATAGGCTGAACTGGAGAGGCAGGAGTACCATCACTGGTAATGGTATCTTGCCTGGGGAAGTTGTACAGACAGGAGACAGAGCTGCTGTTGCTGCTCCTGCTGCTGCCATGGAAGCTGAGAAAGCTTTTTAAATGGGCTTAAGATGCTTGGAAACTGCTCTCACTTTCTATCTGACATGTCTTCTCCTTGTTTCCTTCCTAGGGTCCATCAGATTGCTGCTCTTCAATTCCTTGGGTGCTCGGAGAGTCTGAAAAATGGCAGCTGCAGTGATTGCCCAATTGATCCCTAAATTGCATTCACTGGCCAGTAGCGAATCTGGCTACTATATTGGACGGCATCTATGGTTTGGGCTGGTTGTTCTGTATGGCATGGTGGTGTATGTGGCTCACATCTCCTGGGCCCACATCAAGGAAGATTTTATCTGCAGTGAAAATATCACTTTGCCATGCCTGATAACGTGTTTTGGGAAAAGATTTCCCATCCCTATAATGGGAACATGGTACTTCTTCTACTTCATCTTCATAGCACTCTTCTGTCTTATAGAAGTCTTCATGGCTCTGCTCCGGGAAGAGCAAGTCAAGGTGATGAAGTCCATGGTGTCCATGATGTCCTTGGCAAAGGACTTAGAGGGAGGCCTGATGGTGCCAAACAAGGAGCTGAGTATTTCCTGGAAGAAATCTATCCTGAACTTGCATCGGGAGAAGAGTCTCCTGCTTTTGTACCTCCTGTACACTCTTCTGCAGGTCATCTTCCAGGGCATATTCTTATTCATACTCCTATTTCGGCAGCGCCCACTGGTGAAACAAGGCATCATCCACTGCAGCACCAACAGCTGTCCTGGCCCCTACTTCTGCCTCATACGGGGCTCAATGGAGAAGGAAATGTCCATCTACATCCTTGCTACCTTGTCTATCTTTATCATCATCCTTGGCACAAGTTTCCTCATATATAGCATCTACCACTACCTGCTGAATAACCCTAACATTTCCAAGATGCAGAGTTCTTGATGTTTGTGAGAGACTATTCCTTTTTCCTTAAAATCCTTTCTCTCTTACATAAGGAAGTTTGTGTTTGTCTATTAAATTTTTATTTGGGGGCAGGACTTCCTCCTGCTGACCTCAAAATTAAGCTTTGTTCTTGTTTTCTTTCTCTAGGGCCCAACTGGGGGTCACCAAACTCTGGAAGCATATGAACATACCCTGAAGTTGACTGCCAGGTTCTTGCTATGCATTAGTCCGTTTCCTCTGTGCAGTCATATCCAAGGTGGATTCATCACTTTCCTGAGACCTAGCAAGACAGATGATGTGGGAAGTCAGCAATGCAGCATCCTGCCAGCTTCACACAGGGGACTCAGGGTAGATGCTTTATATGCCCCATCACACAATCTTGTATGATGCCATCTAAGGGCAAATACAACCTTATGGCAATGTTTCAACAGGTTTTCAACTAGTCAACATATTTACTGAGTCCTAATATGGTTCATGTGTTGGAGCATATATGACTTTTAAAATTGGAAAAAGACAAATACTAGAGGCAGAGGGCAGTAAATAACAGCTTAAGAAGAAGCTAATGGCACACGACACTGGCTTCACAAGTTGCTCTGCCCCAGGATCAAGTCAGAAAAAGCTTCTCCAGAGAAGGCCCATCCTTCCATTTGCCAGCTGAACTAAGACAAATGAAAGATGTAGTTGAAATACGACCGGATAAAGCTGAAAATAACACCACGTCCGAATGATCTATGATGGACCTAACTGATACCATCATGCTACTACTGTATTTTACTTAAGAACCAAAATGGGTAAGGTAATCACTTCCAAGTGACTAAGGTAATTTAAACACAAGGGCACAGCTTGCCTAGCATGTGAAAGACAATCCTACTCCCTACAAACAAAAGAAACGAAGCAGGGATACCACTTTTATTATTCAGGTAGTAGACAAAAGCTCCGGCTATGATCAGAGCTCCTGTAACACTTTTGTACCTAGCACTTCAGCCCCTTTATGTTGTGTTGTTGTTACTTGATTCCTCTTGAGTTTTTATCTCTGTTGTTCATGTTCTAAAATTTGTTCTACCTACGTAGTTCAGGATGGCCTGCAACTCCCCTGAAACCTAATGGTGTAATGGTCACGCCACAGCCTTACACCACATTATATCCAACTTCAATCTCGATTTGATTTATAAAGTAACTTTAACATGTTCAAAATGATTGTCTCTATAAATACAAACTGAGAAAATAAGTATGAAATCACTCTAAATACGTTTGCCTGGAAGAAGTGCACCGCACTGCCAAGAACATTTGAGTGAAAGGATGAGAAGAAGTCATTCTGGGAAAACTGAAGTTGAAAGCAAGCAGGTATAGCTATACTTGCATGTGATAAAGTAGATTTCAAGGTAAAACTAATCATAAATAGTAAATAAGCTCACTTCATGTTGATTAAAAGGACATTACAGTCCTAAGCATATATGAATGAAACACTGACATATCTAGTTTCTTAAAAATATTGTATGTGAAACACAGACTCATCACAACAAAATAATAGTGACTTCAATACTCACCCTCACCAATAAATAGATCATCTAGATAAAAATGAACAAAAGAATATTATAGTGAAATGGTGCTATTAGATCAAATGGACTTAGCAGACATCTACAGAACATTCTACCCACTACACAATACATATTCTTCTCAGTAGGCCACATTTTAGATATAGCAAGTCTTAACAAATAACATTTTGAAATAATTTCTTGTATTTCTACCACATTGGAACAAAACTAAAAATCAATAGCAAGAAACTGCAAAATACATAAGCTTAATGCAACTGAACATTGAAGAAACAAGATAAAATTCCAGAAGCCAACTGAAAATCAAGCACAATACGCCAGAACCTATAGGATACAATGAAAATAGTTTTACAAGGCAAGTTGATGGTTACATTTAAAAAAAAATCAGATGAATTGAAAATGACCTAATGATGCAATTCAAGTTCTTAGAAAAACAAATAGATTGAAAATAATAAAGGGCAAAATTAAATGGAGATGAAATCAACAAAATTAAATATTGTTTTTTGAAAAGATAATTTATAAACCTTTAGTGAAACCAACCAAAGGAAAGAGAATGAAGATCCAAATTAATGAGATTAGAAATCAAAATGGAGACTTTATAACCAATGAAATGGAGAAGATTATTAGCACATACTTTGAAAACTCATATCCCAATGAACTGGAAAAATCTAAAAGAAATTGGTAAATTTCTAAACATATATGGTCTATAAAAATTAAATCAAGAACAGCTATGACAAGATTGGAGCAGTGATTTCAAAGAAGCACAGATAGATTCACTTATGAATTTTATCAGACTTTTAAAGATCCAACACAAATGCTACTGAAGTAATTACCAGTAAAATAAAGAACGCTATTAGGCTGATTTCACAAAGTCAATAGCACCCTGATATCCAAACTAGGACACAGCACAAAAAGAAAATTATAGGCCAGTCTTCCTGACAAAGACGATGGCAAAAATTCTCAACAACACACTTATAATCCTAATTCAATATACTAAAAGAATCATGCCCTGTGATGAGGTGAACTTTCTTTCCAGAGATGCAAGAGTGCTTCAATGTACATAAATAATCACATAGACTCAAGGACAGAAGTCATATGATCACTTCAATAGATTTTTAAAAAGTCCATCTCAACATAAAAAAGGAAATTAGGAATACAAATACTAGAGCTCATCATAATAAAAGTTAGGACAAATCAGAGAGCTGACATTACACTGTGTGGGAAAATCAAGGCCTTCTCACTGAAAGTAGGAGCAACACAAGTGTGTTCACTTTTCCCACTCATATTTAATGCTTGAAGTCTGTTTTAGAGATTCACTTTATTTTCCATGTATGTTTTTACTTGTGTGAATGTATGTGTCCCATGAGAATGCCTGATGCCCTTGGGAGGCCATAAGAGGGCATGGGATCTCTTGGACCTAGAGTTACAGGCAGTTGTGAGCTGTCCAGCGGGTGCTGGAAATTGAGTATCAGTCTTATGCAAGAGGTATCCAATGTCCCTAACCACTGAGCAATCTCTCCAACTCCTAGCTCTTGAAGTTTTATCAGGAGTCACAAAACAAAAGGATACAAAGAGGAAAGAAAGAAATCAAGTTGACCCTATTTTTAGACGATGTTACTACACAAGTCTTAACACTGACAAGCACTTTCAGCAAAGTTTCATGACACAAAATCAACACACAAAAATCAGTGGCTTATCTATATGCCAATAAGGAACACATTGAAAGACAAAGCAGAAAATCAACCCTATTCCCAATAGCCTTAAAAGGATGCTTTGCTATAATCTTAACTATGGAGGAGAAAGACCTCCACAAGGAAAGTGATTTAAAACAGCGGAACAAGAAGTCACTCTCCACTATAAGATGGAGAGACCTCCAATGATTGGTAGACTTTATATGGAAAAAATGGCTACAGTATCAAACGTGATCTATAAATTCAATGTAACTCCAGTTTACAATTACTATGACATTCTTTGTGGATCTAGAAAAATTCCTATGACATGATCCCAGATAGCCAAAGTGACCCTGACAGAAAAGAAAATTACTCCTGCTTTTGGCAATACTTCAAGTTTTACTACATAATGACAAAACAAACACAGTACTGACACAACAAAAATGAATGGAATAATTGAACCAAAGACCCAGAAATAATGAAATTACATGGCTACAGTCACCTAAAATTTGACGAAGTTCTCTCTCTCTCTCTCTCTCTCTCTCTCTCTCTCTCTCTCTCTCTATCTCTATCTCTGTCTCTTTCTCTCCTTCCCTCTCTCCCTCTCAAAAAATATGTGCTCTTTAACAAATGATGCTGAAAACTAGATAGCCACACACAAAAATGAAACGATCCCATCTCTTACCTTGCCTAAAAATAATTTAAAGATGGATGAAAAAAATCCACAGCCAAAACACAGAATTGTTGAGCCCAGACCTGAAGGATACATCTACAATCTCTAGCACTGTCTTAGTTTGGGTTTCTATTGCTGCAACAAAACACCATGACCAAAGAGCAAGTTGGAGAGAAAGGATTTAATAGGTTACACTTTCAAATATTGCTGTTCATCACTGAAGGAAGTCAGGACAGGAACTCAAAACGGCAGGATTATGAAAGCAGGAGCTGATGCAGAGACCATGGGTGGGAGCTACTTACTGGCTTGCTTCCCCTGGCTTACTCAACCCACATTCTTATAGAACCCAGGACCAGCAACCCAGGGATGGCACTACCCACTAAGGCCTTGGCTCTCCCTCATTGATCACTAATAGAGAAAATGCTTCACAGCTGCATCTCATGGAAGCATTTCCTCAACTGAGGCTCCTTCCTCTGATGACTCTAACTTGTATGAAATTGACACAAAACCAGCCAGTACATGCATGTAAGACTCAGGGATCATTGTGGAAGAGAGCACAGAATAACTTTAAGAGCCAGAGGATCATGGAGTGTGTTTTGACATTGTATCTCCTAGAAATATCAGAAGCTACACCCATAAAGTCTCACCATGACTGGTTAAATATGAGCCAAACAAAGATACACAAACTTCCAATATTAGGAATAAAGAGGGGGATCATTTTAATCCATGAAAAGGATAAGAAGGGTAACTTGAACTTGACAACTTGAATGAAATGGAGTAATTAAACACATTTCTCCAGCTTTGATAAGATTAAATGACTTGAAAATTCTTACAAACATTTAGAAAACCAAATATTTTATTGTTTGAGAATTTCAAACCTTAATGTATGTTGACAAAATCTACCCCACATCCATCTTCTCCAATTCTTCTATGCCTCTTACCATTTTTATCTCCCAACTTCATGTGGTCCTTTTTTATGAACCCACTGAGTTTACTGAGTGTGTTACCTGTATGTGTGTGAGTGCAAGATCATCTGCTGGAGAATGAGTAGCCTCTTAGGAGCCACATACCTAAATAAAACTGACATTCCCTCCTCCAGAAGCCACTATGTACCAGAAAATGTGGTGCCTGCACCACGAGCAAGTTCAAGGTATCTTGGAAGTGAAAGACAATAGGTCCAGTTGTTTGTGCTAAGAAAATGTGTCTGCAGCCTTTATTGTCAGAGAATGCTTATGTATTCGTCTTTATTGCAAGTGCTAAGAGATCTCTCTTTCTGTAAAGAGGGAGCAGGCTTATATACAGGCTTACAGAACAGTGGGAAAACCCCAGGTGTAAGAGCTCATGCTAGATATTGATTTCAGGTAGGCAAGACTGGGGCTGTAAGACAGGACTAGAGAGAAGGATGCACCTGTGGCTATCATCTGACAAGCAATGCACAGAAATCCATGGGGGCTGGGACCCAACAAGAAAACAATGTCTTCAAAATCCCACAGGCACATAACTGTAAATACACAGATGAACAAAAAGCATGGGCTTGCTGAAAGTTGTTTCCTATGAAGGAGGAAGCTGATATGAGTGGTGGAAATGGATATTAAGAGCTAGTTCCAGGACAGGCTCCAAAGCAATACAGAGAAACCCTGTCTCAAAAAACAAAAACAAACAAAAAAGGGCACTCTACCTTTTTAGGTAGCTCATGAATTCCTTGTGTAACTGTAGAAATCAGTCAACAAAACTAAACCAATGAAACATCATAAGGCATGAAGGGCCAAGGATGCTCATGACAGAATCACATGTAGTTAGGATCCCAGTTGTATCTATTTTCAACTTCTTCACATTACCTATAGTGTGGCAGAATGGCTAAGCCTCTTAGAGAGTTAACTGATCCCTTAGCTCAGCAAGAGCAGATCTGGACTTCCAAAATGGAGATCTGGAGCAGGTGGTAGAGAGTAGATGATCAGCAGAGGCAAACAGTGCTCCAGTACCAATGGAAAGCATCCTTAATTTGACCTCTTCCTACCTCAAAAGCTTTTCTGAGGTAATGAAAAATTCAGTTAATCCCCAGCAACTGTACTGTATACTACACATATTACATATTACTTTCTCTCTATTCTCCCTCCTAAAGTTTTGCTCCTTTGGTGTCAAAAACAGCATAATTGGCTGCACAGAAACAGGTTTCTGACTGCTACAGGCTTCATGCTTTTAGGGTCGATAAGAGCACCTTCTAATTTATCCGTTCGCTCATTTAAAAAACAAGAAGAGCAAAGCCACTTTAGAC